GGCCAGCGTGCTCCAGTGTCGCGCGGCGCCTCTAAACGAAAACACACACACACACGGCTGCGTCCCGCCGCGACCCTATCCTGTTTCAGCGCCTTCAGCGCGCACGCCACAGCCAAAGGGACGAACTCGTCCTCTTCTTCTTCACGCATTCTCTTTCCCGGAGTTTATTTTTCCTGCGAGAGGCCGCCGGGGCCCTGTTCCGTTTCGTTACCTTCAACAGCTAGTGACAGACTGCGGGTGGCGCTGCCTCCGGTTGCCTCGGCGCGGCCCGGCCGCTGCTCCCTTTGAGCTGCTTGCCGGCCCTGCCGGCCCTGGCGGCGCACGCCCGGACCAGCGTCCAGCCGTCGGCGTGTCTCTGTCGCACCCACCAGGATTCCCATAGCGCAGGTGCGAGAGAGACACGGAGCGAGAGCCGCCGCCGCCCGGTCCAGCCGCTAGCGCAGCGGTAGCGTGACGCGGTGCCCCATTTGACGAGTGTCGGCGTTCGGGCTTCTTCTCCTCCCCGCCGTCCCTCTGCGTCCGTCTGTGTGTGTGTTTGTGTGTCCGTACGTGTGTCTGTGTTCAGAAAAATGAGCAGCCGGACCACCCGCGAGCGAAAAGATTAAACTAATAACGAATTTCCAAATTGCCAGAGTGAAAGGGAAGCGGATGCACTAACAACAACGCCGGCAGCGAGGCGGCGGCCACACACCGTGACGGGGGTTTTCGCGTTCGACTGCGATTTCGTGGCCTCTTCGTTTTTCGGTCGCGTCCCGCCGAGTCTGAGTCATCAGTCCCTTTCGCACGGCGTCTAATCTGGTCACCTTGAGGGGCAGCCAGCGGCAGGCCGCCCGCCCGGCCCGGCCGCCGCCAAAGGATCAGTTTGATTCGCGTGAATGCGGAGCAGAAACGCGCGAAGCTCTCTTCCTTCCTGCTCCTCCTTCTCCTTGTTTCGCATTCCGACGGCCATGCGTGAGGAAAGCTGGTGAACACACCAAGTGCAGCTCGACAACAACAACAGCAGCAGCAACAACAACAACAACCTGCCCGGCTGCAGTCAATCAGGCCGTTCAAATTAAAGCGACGGGCCGGATTTTTTTTTCTCTTGCCTCTCGGTGCGGCACATGGTGCGTCATGGTGGCCGCGTCCGAGGCGTCCGATCGGGACGACGACGTGGACGCAGCCGCTCCGGTGAGTCAGGTCGCCATGCAGTCTGGCTCCTGGCCGCCGGGACGCAGCGGCCGGCTTCTCTATCCTTCACGCAGTGACACCCAATAGTCTATCGGAATGAGAATATTTCCACACCAAAGTCCTTCGGGACGAAATTCGAGATCGTCTCGCATTAATAGAGTCACCCCTTTCCCGTCGTCGCTTCACCCTGGTTCATAAAATTGGCCCCAAAGTTTGCCCTTTTATTTTCCCACCCGGGCATTCACGACTGTGTGTGTGTGTCGGTGTGTGGCTGCTGCGTCGGTGTGAGTGCGTCGGCTCCACGCTGTCTCAGGCTGCCCTCAGCATATCCTCTGTGCAGTCAGGCGGCAGCGGCAGCTCAGAGAATGTGGCGTGTGTGTGTTTGTGTGCGTGTGTGTTGCGGTGGCAGGGTAGGCCAAGCGAGCAGGGGCAGCTCTGTAGCTCCCGTGTGCGGTGTGTGGTGGCTCTGGTCGCGCTGGACCCGGCCGGGGCCGAGCCGAGCCGCCCGGGTTACGCCCAGGCACCTGCTGCTGCTCCATAAAACAAGATTCACACTCGCTTATTATAATCGTCCGTCATTTATCAGTAGTTTGCCAGGGAATCTACCCGGGCGACCCTTCGATGGCTAATAACACGATACGCTTCACACAAAAAGTGGGGGAAATTAAGCGGGACCCTTTTCTTCATCGGTTGTCAATCGATCGACTGCGTTTTTTGTGATGGCCGTTTGCCTGCGACGTCTGGTCTGGGCCCCGGGGGCATAGCGTCCCATTGAGCGACCGCCCTCGCCGCCCCGCCTGCTGCACGGCCTGCTTGGCGGGGCGGAGCGCGTGACGCAAACCTCGTCCCCCGTGGCGGCGGGGCGGTGGCGTCCGCGGCCCCGAAGCACGCCGAAGGCCAGGCCAGGCCCGCCCGCGGCTGGAGAGGAGCCGGGAGGACCGCAACACCGTAACGGGCGGGGCAACAATGGCGGCCTCTATTGGACACAATTAGAGCGCTATCGACTGGGACGGCGCCTCGCCGTGAATGCTGGGCGTCATGTGGCTGACGTGTCACGTGACGTGTGTGGCACACACACACACACGCACACACACGCGCGCACACACACACACACACAGACACACAGACACACACACACACACACACACACACACACAGCGTGGCTCGAGATGTGTCACGTCAGTAATCGGCTCGTCTCATTTTCGGCGGTCGGTTTGGTTGAGCCGCCGCCGGCGGTCATCCGCGCGTCGGGGCGAGCCGGACCGGGTTTTGGGTCCCCCGCTCCCCCTCCCCCACCAGCCCCCCTCTCCCTTGCCGCTGTACTGGGTTCCCGGTCGGGGACCCCTCTCTTCTGAGCAGCAGCGAGACTGATTCCGAGGGTCGTTTTCGTCGGGCTGTCTCTCTCGCGCCCGTCGGCGACGCCGCCGGTGTGTGCGAGAGAGACAGAGCGACGAGAGCGACTCTCGGAAACGGCGAAACTCGACACCGCGCTTCGCTTCGTCAGGGTGGCTTGGCGTGTCGTCCGTAGCGTCACCCCTACAGTGCACACCCGCCCGGCTACTGTCCTACGCCCTGCCGTCCGTCCCGGCCGTCCTTTCGCCGCCGCTCCTTCATTATTGTTATTATCATTCATCTCCTCGTCGTCGTCCAGGGCCAAAGGGCGTCCCGAATTTCCTGAGACATCCCAAATATTTCCCAAACGATTTTGTTTAGTTTTTGAGAGTTTTTCGTTTTTCCAGTTCATTAATTACGATGGATCGGTGGGAAATAAATTTCGAAATATGGACCTGGTTTTTGGATTCGCTCCGCTCCCAGCCATGACTGCTTGGTTTCTTCCTAGGCGACTCGGCCGAGTTTGACAGAGTGCTAGGTTGTCGGCGCGTGCGCGTGCGGGCACGAGTGCAGGCAGCAGCAAGCTGTGGGGGTCTAAAGGTGTAATCCTATTGCCGGATGTCGGCGTGTCGGCGTGTCGCCGTGTCCGTGTCGTCCACGTCGACACATCCGCACACAACAAGGCGGCGGTGGGTGCACTGCCATGGCACTGCCTGGCAGTGCCGCCAACGGCCGCCACGGCCGCCAACCCCGCAGCCGGAACGCCGCCTAAGGGGCGCCAACTGTGACGCCGCGTTTTGCCCTTTTTGGCGGGAAAAATAAGCCCCTTTTTGCGGGTAAAATAAGTCCTTTTTCGCGGGAAAAATGAGCCCTTTTTCGCGGGTAAAATAAGCCCTTTTTCGCGGGAAAAATGAGCCCTTTTTGGCGGGAAAAATGAGTACTGCGTTCTTTTGGCTCGACTTTTGGCGTGTGTTGACATAATTCAGTGCCGACAACACTTTGAAAGGTCCCGCAAAGCAGGAGATCATTGAGGAGACAGACTTATGTCAGGCAGTGCGACGGGAAGGACTCCCGGAATCAGTCTGCAGGTTGCAGGCCCGTCGGAAGACGACCCTCGCCGTGTCATTGAACTTGCCTCGCGCGCGACTTTCACTTGCGCAGCCATAACAGGCCTAACAGGCGCAGGGGCGTCGTCTCCACTGGTCTTCGCCCCCTGCACAGTGTGCGCACATCGATTTGGCTGCGCGCCTGCTTCGCCTGCTTGTCCCACATTGCCGGGAATCCCTGCAGGGCCGCCTGCCTGGCCGGTGCCTGGCTGCCCGGCAGGTCGATGTCGCGGTGCGGGTCCACCCCAAAGGCCCGAGGGCCTTCCCTCGGAGGGCCAGCCCAGATGGCCACCCCTGCGCGCCCACCATTGGGCCGCGCGCCCCCGAAATATGGGCCAGTGCGGTCACCGCGCGCGCTCATCCCCCTCGTGGCGGTGGAGGCCGCCGCGGAGGAGGCCTGCCTGCGTGTCGCACGCCGAACGGGCTTCTATGGGTTCCGGGGTCGCCCCGAGTTGGTCGTCGCATTTCGCTGAGCCGCGCCGGCTTTTCGGGGGAACAGCCGAAAACAGGATTCGGTGGCCGCCCTCGCCGCACCGAGCTGAACACGACGCGGAACCTCACCGGCGATTCGCATCGATTTCCCTCACTGTAAAGCGGGGACGCTTGCTTCGGTCATTCCCCCAGCTGGCTGGCTAGTTAGATTGCACCACGAGTCGAATGTTTCCGTTCAAGTGGCGCAATGGAAACAATGCCGTGTCTGCGTGCGCCCTGCCGGCCCCGCCGCCAGAGGCAATTAACTACACCACACGCAGATAATCTCTGACTTCCCTCGCCGCCATGCCCCACCCTCAATCGCAGAAGAGACTTGAATGATGGGCGGGCTCGTCATCGGCCTGGCCAATTAAAAACCGCAAGGCACCCGGCCGGGTGGCAGACGGACTCTGGCGGCCACCGACAGATGGACAGACGGACTGGTCTAGCCACCTGCCGTATGCTAATCCATACGCCATCTGTACGCCCTTATTAGTGGCCATTCATTACGCGTGTCAACGTTCACTCACTGCGAGTGTGCGTGCGCATGTGTGCGTGTGTCGCTTTTGTCGAATACTTTGTTTATTTGCCCGACTAATGGGAGACCGTTGCGGACGGCAGTATGGCGCTGGCGCTGTACAGTGGGCCAGAAGACCGGCGGAGGCGGCCGAAACCCTTGACGCGTTTTGAGCTGCAGAGTCGCTAACCAGGACGCGAACCGACCAAATGATCCCACCAATGGATTCCTCGTTCGGAGAGCAATCCATTGGTGGGGTCACACGCTCGGTTCGAGTCCCATTTAGCGACTCTGGAGCTCAAAACGCGTCGAGGGTTTTGGACGCCTCCACCGGTCTACGGCTCGCTGCCCGCCGCTGCTCGCTGGGACTGTGTGCTCTAACTCCACGTTGTGTTGTGTTGCAGGCGTGTGCACCAACGGCACGGCGCCGTCCGTCAGCTCCATCAACAGGATACTGAGGAACAGGGCGGCGGAGCGGGCGGCCGCCGAGTTCGCCAGGGCGGCGGGCTACGGCCTCTACGCGCACGCGCAGGTGAGTTAAGACTTCCTTTAACCCGATTTACTTTTGACGGGACTTGTTTTCGCTTTTGCTGACGCGCGCCTTGCCCCCGCAGCAGGTGCACGCGGGCGTGGCGGCGGGCGTGGCGGCGGGCGTGCACACCCACCCCGCCTACGCGGCGTTCCACTGGCCGGCGTCCGCGGCCGCGGCGGCCGCGCACCTCTGGCCGTCGTCCGGGGCGGGGGGCGCGCCGCCGGGAGCGCCGGGGTCCATGCAAGGCGCTGGCGGCCACGGGGCCGCGCCGACACTGCCGTCGCCAGGGTCCACGCCGTCCAGGGCCACGCCGCCGGGCCTGCCCATGGGCATGCCCCACCACCCCAGCCATCCCCACCACCTCGACCCCAACATGGCGCTCATGAGCCACAACGCGGAGCTCATGGGGCTGCCGAGGCTAATGGGTAAGAGCCGCCGTGATAAACCGCCCATGAAAAGTGCGACACTCTTAAAACTTTACGAAGTATTTTGAGCAACAAACTAAAATACTTTGTTATACGAAGAAATAGTTCGTAAATTACGAAGTATTTTCTTTGTAAGCTTACGTATGCTCAAAATACTTTGTTATACAAACTACTTTTCTTTGTAAGGCCCAAAATAGTTTGTAAGGTTTTCTCAGTGTACTCACGGACTACTTTGCCGCAGACCCCGACGACGCCATGGGCTCGGACACCTCGGAGGCGCCCAAGTTCCGGCGCAACCGCACCACCTTCAGCGCGGAGCAGCTGCAGGAGCTGGAGAGGGAGTTCGACAAGAGCCACTACCCCTGCGTGTCCACGAGGGAGCGGCTGGCCGGCAAGACCAGCTTGTCGGAGGCGCGAGTCCAGGTCAGTACACAATCCAGTTCCATTAGTCCACGGCAGTCCTTAAAAAGAGAAAACTGCCGTTTAAACGGCCCCTGCACTGGCTCGCCTTACAATCTGTAAGAGACAATCTCACTGGACTCGAATTAAAATCTGGAAACCGAATTGTAGGAAACGAAAAACACGAGACGCGGACCGGAGTCGAACCCGCGCCCTTTGCGCCGCCGTGTTACAGTGTAGCGCGCACGACACCGTAAAGCAGGGCCATACACGCACCGCGTTGCGCCGCGTTGTCCGACAAGCACTAGTGGAGGTGCGGGGCAATTTAGCGCGTCGGATTGGATTGCCATTGCCGCCCACTGGCCGGCGGGGCGGCGGGGCCACGCCCTGTGACCACGCGGCCACGCGACCACGCGCCTTATGCCCTGCTCGCACGCACGGCCGACGCGCCGTCCCGCGCCGCCCCGTCCCCGCGCACCGTCGCCTAGTACAAAGCTCCTGTCCGCCACGCCCCGCCGCACCCCGCCGCGCCCCGCCACGCCCCGCCGCACCCCGCCACGCCCCGCCGCACCCCGCCGCGCCCCGCCGCGCCTCGTACGTCGCGCTGCCGGTCGACGCCCACTCCGCGAGCACGCCCTCCACGCCCGGTAGTGGCCCGGAGATAGCCTGCCGCACGAGCATGGCGCCGTCACCGGTCCGTTCGGCCATTCCCGGCGATCGCTTTGAAAAAAAAAGAAGTAAAAATGAAAAAGGTTTTCATTCGAGTCCAGCGAGAGGGGCCCATCCCAACCCTTTGACTGCAATGCGTTATACTCTTGAGTTGTTGTCCTCTTTGTTTCGACACCATTTCAACACCTGGCTTTTCCATTGACTCCCAGGTTTGGTTTTCTAACAGACGAGCGAAGTGGAGGCGCCACCAGCGCATGAACCTGTTAAAGCGCGCCGCCAAGGAAGCCCACGGAGCCCCCGGCGGAGCCCCCGGCGGAGCCCCAGCCCCCACAGCCCCCCCGGGCCACAGCCCCCCAGCCCCCTCGTCCGGTTCCACCCTTGGCTCGTCGCCCCCTCCCTGTACTACGGCGGGCTACGGGCCGCGCACTCTGATGGGCGGAAGAAATAGCGCGTTCCGGAGCCTGGTGCCCGCCGCGGCGCACAGCCCCCACAGCCCGCACAGCCCGCACAGCCCCTACGACAGCTCCGACTCGGAGGAGATCAACGTGCACGAGTACGACGAGGACGTGTCCGACTACGAGAACAAGATGCGCAGCCTGCGGCAGCACATGGAGGCCGAGCAGCGCCTGGGCCAGCACCGCCGCCCCTCCGTGGACTCGAGCGACTCGGACTCGGACGTGGACGTGGACAGCAACCCGCTGTCCGTCGCCAACCTGCTGACGCGGAGGAGTCCCCTGGCCGACAGCCGCGCCGACGGACAGCCGCTGCAGCTCACCAAGCACGACCGCGAGAGGGACAGCTAGGCGTCCTGGAACTGTTTTTGAAAAATAAAAAAAAATCAACACTTTTTTGTTTGCATGGGTCACCGAAATGTTGGTGATTCAGTGACCATTTCGCGACTCGCGGTTGGTTCCACCGGTTGGAGCGGAAATCGACTTGTTGTTTACTCTGTATCGTTCGTAAATGGGCAGCAGCAGCTTTATCTCAACAATATTCCACTGAGAAAGTCTCTTTAAAATTACGTGTCACATCGAAGCATTCGACTATAGATCAAATACATTTACTGTCACCCGCTTTTATCATCTGTTTCAACGCACAAGAATATACTGCTGGGACGCTTTTCCATAAATGTTGTTTTAGTTATGATGTACCTAGAAAGTAATGGATCCAATGTAAAGGAAAGCTACCCCTGCGGGGAAGATCAATTATTTAAATACTATACCAAACACTATCTCCGTGAGTGAAATGATGTTCAAATGGAAGTGGGAGCTCATATTTTCCCGCGTGTACGCCTATTGTGATTTGAGCACATTTTATTTGCGACTACCTATGTATTTCCGGCTGTGTATACTAATGTAGCAAATTGTACAAAGCGATAGATTTAAAGTGAATCATATTAATATATAATACATTTCTATTGTAAATTCTCGACGTTTGCGGGGCTCCCGACGACGGATAATTTGACGGGAAACTCTAAGTTATGTACGATTTTTTTTTCTATTGTGATAAGTGTTGTTATTTTAGGGAGGATAATAAAGAGTGCAATTTGCAAAACATTGTTCATGAACCAGTCTCTTCTTTTTTATTTTATTTTTTTCACCACAATCTCTAACAACCACCCAAGCCTGCGGCGTCACCCCAGAGGGTCGTGGAAGTTATTTAGACTGAAGATACATCATAATCCGCACGCGTAAAACCTTACGAAGTATTTTCAGCATACATAATTACAAACTAATTTACTTTGTTATACGAAGAAATAGTTCATAAATTACGAAGTATTTTCTCTGTAAGCTTAAAATACTTTGTCATAGCAATGTGCTTTTGGCCTAAAATAGTAGTTTGTAAGGTTTTCTCAGTGCAGGCGCGAAGCGCGCTCACACACACACACTCACACACACGCGAACGGCGTGCCGAGCGCGGACGAGCGAAGAGCAATTTGACGAGCGAGTCTCGGACGAGCGGTCCGCGACGAGGGGCTGGCCGATGATTGGCGCGGTGCGGTGCCGCCGTCCGTCGCTCTGTCTCTCTCGCACCCTTACGGGCCGCCGCACGAGTGCGAGAGAGACGGAGCGACTCTGTTCGGAATGAGGCTCCAGGCCTGTCGGCTGAATGTAGACCAGCCGGGCCGAGCGGGCCCAGGCAGGCACACTGGCCAGGCCGCGCCGCCACCGCGTCCGCCACCGCAATGCCTATCATTACGACGCCATTTTGAGTCGGAGTGCCTTGCGGTTTCCAGCGCCTCCACCAATGCCAGGCCGACGCCGCGCTGCCGCCGCTGCCCGCGCCGCCCGCGTCGACCGCGCTTCCTCGCCGCCATGGCGCGCCATCGCGAGTCGAGGAGGAACTCATTACCGGCGTGACGGTCATTCCCTGCCGAGCGATTCAGAAGCGTCGTCGTTTCGTCGCTCTGTCTCTGTCGCACTCGCGGAGCTCGCCGTCAGGGTGCGAGAGAGACAGAGCGTCAAACCGATCTTCTCAATTGCTCCGCTGCAAGGCGCTGTCTCTCTCGCACTGCGACGCCGCATGATGAGAGCGAGAGAGACGGAGCGACGACGGAAGCAGAGCACCGTTCGGAAGCCGGCCTCCTCGTTGCGTATGTAGGTTTCCCCGACGGCCGACGCCGATCCATGTCCGGTTCCGGGGTCCTTCACACCAAAAAAAAAGGGGGGGGGGTTGCTGAAACCGTCCTGAGTGACGTCCACTTAAGGAAATTTCAAGTTTACAAATCAGGTAAATTTAGTATAGAAGCGTGCAAAAAAAATCAAATTTATTCACTTGATTTGCTTGAAGGATATGTCGTCTTGGTTTAATAAACGCTTTTTTTGGTGCGCGGTCATATATGACCCTGTTCGAAGCCGTCGTGATCGACTCGGCGGCGGCAGAACGCTGCAACACTGTAGGAGCGGAGCTGTCAGCGCGGCAGCCTCCAGCAGCCTCCAGTGCAGAGACGGGGCGCTGCTTCTGGTATTGCGCACATTTTCCCCCCTCCAGTCGATAATAATTGGGATAATCTCCTCGCTGTCCACCCTACTCCGAGCGGCAATCACGCATGCACTATACACAATGTTGTAATGGCAATTACTTTCTCATGCAGGCGGGATATTTAAAAGTTTTCGATCATTTTTCACACTGCTTTTATGAGTACACTCACACTGCAAAGCCGGTGGTAAGTTTACTTGCCACAAATTTGGCATCCCTATTCAAAACGGCTTGCCAAATTTGTCGCAAGTAAACTTACCACTGGATTTGCAGTGCACTGGTCATGTAGATTGTTGTACGTAGCTTGCGTGAGTTTGTAAGAGTGTGAACGTGCAACATGACTGCGTACTTGCCCATGATAAACTCACGAAAGCTGCATACAAAAAATAAGGGCATAGCCAGTGAGTGTGAACAAACGCAAAATTGCAATGTAAAAGAAAAATTTAGTTTCTGACGAAAAATAATCCTGACTTGCCCCAAATTGCATCACACACAAAAATTTGCAAAAATTCAATGAGAAATCAATACAAACCTGAATTACAATATCCAAATTTATTTTTTTCCCAAATCTGGCCCACTATTTTGCGCGTGTGCTTGTCGCCGCCATGACACGACTGCACCCCGGAGTCGTTGTGTCGTGGTGCACTTTTTCGGGTTGCTCACTGCACTTGTAAGCTCTGCTTTGGGGCGGGCCGGGGTGGGGCGGGGCGGGGCGGGGGGTGGGGCGGTGGCGGTGGGCGGGCGAAGTTGGCCCTCCCGCTGCACCGCTGCACCTTTAGGGCCGCGTGCGAGCGGTGCGAGGACAGGCTGCGTTGCACGGCGAAGGATGCGGGAGCGAGAGAGACAGAGAGACGCGGATTCGGCCGCAGCGCTGCGGTGGCGGGGGAGGCTCGGGTTTCCTACACTGCTGCACAGCGCGCGGGCCATGCCGGGCCATGCCGGGCCATGCCGGGCCATGCCGGGCCGTTCCCCCGGGCCCCGGCCGCCCTGGCTGCCCGGCCCTGTCCGAGGTGTGAACTGACGAGCCTTATGACGCCTCACCGTGACGAGGCTGGCCGGCTAGGCCGGCGAGGTGACGCAACTCGCCACCGGACGGTGCAGTGTGCAGTGCAGTGGCAGGTGTAGTGCCCTTCTGCAGGAGGCAAAGCAGGCAAAGACCACATTCCGCGCGGGCTGGGAAAGGTCCAACCCTCCCGCAAGGCTCAGTAGACCAGAAGACCAATGCAGGAGGCGGTCAAAATCCCGGACGCGCGTTTTGAGCTCCAGCGTCGCCAAATAGGACTCGAACCGAACGTGTGACCCCACCAATGGATTGCTCTCCGAACGAGGAATCCATTGGAGGGGTCACACGCTCGGTTCGAGTCCCATTTAGCGACTCTGCAGCTCAAAACGCGTCCGGGATTTTGACCACCTGCACCGCACCAGTCTTCTGGCCCACTGTGCACCCCGTGACGTCAAAGCGCTCCTTGCCTATTCAGCGGCGGTAGCGCCGTCCAACGGGACACGCGGGACACGCCGCGCGCGGGCAAACACACGCCCACGGCCGCACGGCCGCGGCGCGGGTTCGAATACGCTCAGCAGACTGACTCCGAGAGTCGTTTGCGTCGCTGTCTCTCTCGCACTCATGGGGCGTCCCGTGTGGGTGCGAGAGAGACAGAGCGGCGAAAGCGACTCTCGGAAGGAGTCTGCAAGGGAAGCAGAGCGCGCGGCTGCACTGGCGCCAGCAGCTGCAGCAGCCTCTCCCCGCCTCCGTGCAGGCAGGCCGGCCGGCCGGCACGTTCGCAATAAAATACACGAATCTGAATGCGAAGGTGGAAAATTCTTGGCGCGTCGCGGAGGAGATTATTTTAATTAACAAACACCCTTTTACATGATGTATCCGGGGTACGGGGCTGCGCGCCGGCCGCGCCACGCCGCACCACGCCACGCCACGCCGCGCCACGCCACGCCACGCCGCGGACCGCAGCAATAAATCCGAATCGTCTTTTTCTCAATTCGTCTTATCTTATTTATCCCCGAGAGCGCCGTGCCATCGGTCGTGCCAGTGTAGGATGTTCTCGGCGTTCGCGATAATTTGCAGGAGTCGCACTTGCAGCGCATGTCGCCCCGCCATAAAGTGGGATCAATTATAAAGCTCCCGGTTCGGCGCTGCTGCTGTGTTCCTTTTTCGTTGTTGTTCTTGTTGTTTTTGTCACCAACTCGGTGCGACACATTCGCGACACTCTTCAGCTGGCGTTCAGGGGCTAACGTGGAAGAATTCACACACCCTCGCGGCAAGTAAGTACACTGAAGAAACTAAAGCGTAACTCTACGTGACGCTTGAAATGAAGCCTACTCTGGAAATCCCCCATGCATTTACATAGGGTGAATCTTGGCAGATGAGCCTATTACGCTTGATTTCAAGCGTAAACTGAGGGTTATACTACGCTTCAGTTTTGCCAGTGTAACCCGCGCTTTGCTAACTCAAATTTCCTTGACGTTTGGAGTGCAGGCCCGCTGTAAAAATTCTCTTCATTTTTCCCTTGTTGCTGTTGTTGTTGTTGTCGTCGTCGTCGTTGTTGTTGTTGTTGTTGTTTGTTGTTGTTGTTGTTATTGTCGTCGTCCCGCCTGACCTAAGTCTGCCTCGGCGCCGCGGCGGCGTGGTTATTGATTTGTCCCACCGCACAATGGCGGGCTGGCGGGCCGTGCGTGGAAATCGCCTGATGAAGCAGCGAAGCAGCGAGGCGGCTGCTGGAATTCCAGCACGGGGGCGCTGCGGACTTGTATTTCCGACCAGTGCGCGCTTCTGTCTCTCTCGCACTCGTGGGGCGTCCCTTGGGGGTGCGAGAGAGACAGAGCGACGAAGCGTGGTTCGGAATCACCAGCTCCAGCGCGCACCGCGAGCCAGCCATGGCCAGCCAGTCAGACGTGAGACAGCCCCGGCGGTGCGGCGGCGCCTGCCCGAAATTCACTCCAGCCACCGAAAGTGTGAGTGTCCCGCGCCATTAGCCTAGATGCCCAAACGGGCCGTACTGGCCCGGGACTCGGGGTGATTAAAGCCGGAGGTGACACTACACTGCGCGCGGCGGAGCGACGCAGAAGAGTCGTTTTCGTCGCTCTGTCTCTGTCGCACTCGCGGGGCGCTCCGGAAGGGTGCGAGAGGGACGGAGCGCGGCGCGATAGGCTGGTAATTAGGGGGTAAAGGCCGGGCTGCCCATTGATGGCTCCATCGGGGAGATCGGCCGAGATGGTGTCTGATAGCGACGTCACTGTCACCGCAGCACCGCAGCACGGCGCCAGGGCGAGGCGCGCTGACCCGCCCCGCCCCGCGCACAGTGGGCCAGAAGACCGGTGGAGGCGGCCAAAACTCTAGACGCGTTTTGAGCTCCAGAGTCGCTAAATAGGACTCGGACCGGACGTGTGACCCGATCAATGGATTCCTCGTTCGGAGAGCAATCCATTGGTGGGGTCACACGTCCGGCTCGAGTCCCATTCAGCGACTCTGGAGCTCAAAACGCGTCTAGAGTTTTGGCCGCCTCCACCGGTCTTCTGGCCCACTGTGCCGCGCCCCGCCCCGCCCCGCCCGACCGGCCAGGTACGGGACCGGCC